ACTTGTTTTAGTACCTAGAACCCGGATCTAGTGGTTGTCCCTTGAGATTTTGTGAATTGGGACTGGATTTGTAGGTTTTTGAACTGATTTCCGCGCCGACCGGTCCGGTCAACCGGATGCACACCACCGGCCGACCGGTGGTGATGCACTTCTCTGTCACCGGTCGACCGGTGTACACGGGGTTTTACCCTGTTTGGCCTGAAATTGTTGTTTTGACCCATGTTTTCGGGGAAAACCCAAATTAGCTTCGTTTGGGGACTTGAGATAAAAGAATTAGCATCTTTAATCATTGTTTAAGATTGAAAACCCTTGAAATTGATTATTGAAACATGAAATTTGATTATGGCACACTAATAGGAAATCTTGATATATGACTGAGATTGGATTACTTTAGGACTGAGAATTGATCCTAAAGTGTCGTTTTGTATCAGTGCTCGCGGTGGATTCAGACTGAAGGGGCTTGAGGAAGCGGAAGCCGGAAAAGGGCAACGCTAGTCCTAGGTTTGATTGTGCGAGGTAGGATTTCTATTCCTTTTCCTTGTAAGCCTGTTTTCAAAAAGAATTTTGGCCTTGAAAGTGTTTTAATGAAATGGATTGGTTTGCGAAAGAAAAATGTTTTAAAAACCATGGCTTGTTAGTTCATGGAAATCCTTAGCTTGTCCTGTCTATAGAATCCATAGCTTGTCTAGTCATTGAACCTCATGGCTTGCCCAGTCATGGGACCCGCGGCTTGAGTAGTTCGTGGAGTCATATGAACGATTTCATAATGTTAAATGGATGATTTCTTAAGATAAGAAATCTTGTGAACTGGTAATAGAGTCTATTACTGTAAGCCTTGATAGGATGCGGAGAGTGCATCCTCGGGGGCAGAACCCGAAACCGGTCCGGGTAGGCGAGGCACTTGGTTAGGTAAGTAATTTGTACTAATTACTTGCTGAAGCCTGTAACATGGTTATTTTCAGTTATATTTCCTTTGAGAAAAAGGATGTGAGGTTCCGGCTGTTCTGTCGGGACTGAATGGCTTATTTTATTTATGTGTTCAATTATTCATTCATGCGCTCATTTATTCTAAATATTTCAAATTATATCCTACTTGGCCTTTCGCTCACGTTTTATGTTTTAAATGTTAAACCCCTCCCAGAAGATTCTAGGATCGGTGCACAGTAGCTGGATATTTGCTACGGAGCAGCTGAGTTGTGCTGCTGTTGGAATCAAGTGAGGATCGGGAACATCCTCTTGGACAAATGTAAGGAATTTGAGAATTCTGTAAACTTATGTAATATTTCGATTTACTAGACTGTGGTTGATATCTGTTGTAATGATTAATTACATGAGTATGTATGTACGATACTGTATGTCCTGTGGGGTGGAGCCCTGTGTGCCAGAGACTCCTGAATTATATAATTCATTTATATTTTAATGCAGTTAAGTGTGAGGTCCGGTCTGAGAATCTGCTTTATTAATTTCTAATCGAGTTCCACGTCACCCACCCCGTTTGGGGGCGTGACAGCTCCTTGCAAATATGGAGTCATAAATCACGACGAGAAATTGCAAATCTTGTTAGAAGTACAAACCAGAAGCCACGCTCACCTGATGAGGAGCACGTTATTGGCATCATAATTTCAACACCATCTTCTCTTACGCACCCCGAGCAGCTGATCATCTGAAAACGCATTGCAATTGATGGGAAAAACAAGTTGGCAAAAATAACATTTGTTCAACCCCCTAAGAAAACACAAACCACAGAACCTTTTAGCCATAACTGAAATGCAAAGTGATTAGAAAAACATACAAAACTTTTAAGGCCTAATAAAACTATACAATTAAACAAATAAAGCCAACATTTTGCACATGAAAAAACTAGCAACAAAGATTGCAAATGACTCATCAAACCTTTTTGTGAGTTAATAAAACTTAAAAGAGAGTACTAATACATACCCGATCAAGCAAGCTTGGTCAATATTGTTTAAGAACGAATTTATTTGTCAGTATTTCCATGAAAAACTTTCTAACAATCAAATTCGCCTAATTCCATGATCAACAGAAACACTTGGTTTAGTCAACGTCTTGGGCATCTGGTTCAAGAGATGAATGTGGCGATATCTCATGGCCATCAAAGGATGCTTCTCCACCAAGAAATCTTTTCTGTAAGCTTCTCTGAGCACGACAGTCTGGGTCCTAATCTTGTTCGAGACGTAGAAGATCCCCGGGTGGTGAACCAGAGCCTTCTTGAACATTCTCGAACCAAATCCTAACCATTCTCCCAAGACGAGCAAGTTTTCTCTCTCCGTCTTCTTCGAAACCGTCAGCCACAGCAGCTCGTGAAGCACCGCCACTGTCCACTTCTCCGCCTGGTCGCTTCCCGGCGGGAGGTGGAATCCGTTCTCGTATGGAGAAATGTACGGCAAAAGCTGCCATTTTTCTACCCAGTCCTTCACCTTCTTCACCAGATCGAACCCTCTCGGGAAGCTCATCGGAAACGCGATCCGCTTCGAATCCGACGACGATGACGATCTCTTCTCCAATTCCGACACCGCGAGATCCTTCCTCCACGAGACGATCTCCAGCGCGAGCTCGGGTTTTCCATCGCTAGTGTTCGGAACTTCGCAGACGTGAAAGTAATCGGGGAAATCGGAGAGGAGAGAGGCGACGAAGTCGTGAGGAAGGCCAAAATCCCATCTGAGCTGCTCGACCAGGCGGAGGGGAAGTCGACCACCGCCGGCGATCATCAGAAGCCTGGAGAGGCGGCGGACGGCGTCTTTTCGGAGAGAATCGAAGGCGGCGGACTCCTCGTAGTGAAGAGAGAGGGCGCGGCGAGTGAGCTTGACGCGCGGGGGGAGGCCGGGGGAGGGCTGGAACAGGGTGAAAAAGGAAGGGTATTTCTGGAAGAATTTGGAGGAAGGGATTGAGAGGTGGAAATGGGGTTTGAGGATGGAGGCGAGAGAGAGAGGGAGAGATTTGGAAGGGTCGGAGAGAATCTGGTTCTTGAAGGAGATGGCTTGGAAGAGGTCCTTCTCTCTCTCGACGACGAAATCGAGGTAAGGGTCTCGGACCCACTTGACCTTGGCGTCCACGAAGGTACGAGATTGATTCAGCCATGGCCCTGGGAGTTTGGTCCGCAGGCAAAGAGGCAGAGCCACAGCCGCGGCCATGCCTGGCATTTGGGAAGTCCAAGTGCATGTGGAAGTCGACGGTTGAGGTAAACTGGGATTGGGGACTTTGTCGTTTTTCGTTCCAAGAGTTTTGTCGTCGTTTCTATCTTGTGCCGTGCTTAATTGGTTTATAATTTACTTTGAAGGTGAATGAAATCATGCGAAAATTAATGTCTAATTTATGCTTGTAGCCACTGTTTCATAGGTTTATTCATGTTGTTCCTGTACAATTCTTATTAATAATAATCATTATTGGGGAATTCTTTCTGGATTAAAAAAATCGGGTAGAGTACAACATTAGTGCTCTTTATTCTTATAAAGGTGAAGGAGCTTGCTATACGGGTTTGAAGCTTGTTGTCGTTTTTCAATCCTTATATTTTCAGTATTTTTATGGCCCTATTCATTTCATCAATTTAAGTTTATAATTTGAGTTTTGCTATAGTAAAAAATTCTCAGAAACAATCACATTTAATTTTTTTGTTACAATAAAAAATTCTCACATAAAATCACATCTCAACTCGAATTAAAAATTCAAATCAGTAAACTAAACAGACCTTATATTTCTTCACTTACGTCGATTTTGTTCTGTAATGTAATTTTTCCAACATTTGCGTCGCTGAGTTTGGTTGTCGTTATCTCGAATATGTCATTTCAGTATATTTTTGTTGCTCATCCTTGGCTGTTGTATATCTGTTCCCTACGGTTCTCAATGCTGTTCATATTATTTTTCCTATTAAGACAACCTTACGTTATTAAGCCGTCTTAGCTCAGCCGGATGAGCGCATGGCTTTTAACCATGTGGTCGTGGTTCGATTTCCACAGACGGCGTTTCCTGCTTCCTTCATTTTTTATTGTACTTAGATCACGAAACATGAGAAACACAATTAATAAACAGGTTAGATGTGAATTGACTCAATTAACTATGTGTTAATTCCATCCAATGATATGTCTAATATAATATATAAGTGTATATAATTCATTAAATAGTAACAAAGTAAAGCCTAACAGTGATTGAGATGAGGACACTGCTAACAGTGATTAACAACAATGCTCCTTAGAAGTGCAAGAGTCGATTCTATTGGGACGGCAGGCGTCTACCGTAGATGCAATTGTCTTGTTACTTCCAGTTCCAGATTTCAGGCTCTCTTTCATGAATAACATCCATTAATGGCCTGCATTTGTGTTTTTGTTGCCTACACTAAAACATATAACCTGTCACTGCCGGCCATTTCTTGCCTTCTTTTGGAAGACAAAAAAAGTTGAAAAAAAAAAGAAGAAAAGTTTGCGCGGCATTTGATTCCGTACATTCAAAACCCACAAAGATGTGGTAAAGTAAGGAGCTAACTGGTGGAAGCTAAAAATACAAGGCCGTCAGTGTATTAGGACCAAAAAAATAATGGCGGGCAAAAGAAAGTCCAAACTAAAATATCAGAAAACAGAGGCGAGTTTGTATCATTTCTGGCGCACAGGACTAGTGCGCACGGGTCATCTTTACCCTAGGCATGCCCTTCTTCATCTGACGAGAACGCTCTTTGGCTTCCTTTTTCCTGATTGCCTCAGCGCTAAGTCTTGCCTCAGCCTCCTCCATCAGCCTTTTCTTCTCTGCCTTCTTTCTCTGCAACGCGTCTTGCCTTGCATTTTGAAGTTCTTTGTATGCCTCCTGAGCGGCCTTCGTTCTTGCTGTGTCTGTTTTAGATCGAGCCTGAGCAAGGGGTAAATCATAATTAAATTGAATATTATGTTGATTCTGAGTAGCTGAACAAAACTACAATCAAACCACCCACCTGAGCGCTTAGCTTGTATCTCCCAATCTGATCAATATAGTAAGGTATCAAAGCCACCAAGCGAGTCATATCAGTCATGTTGTTCACATTTGGGAGGGCAAACTTGAACAGCAGCATCTTCTTATGCGTTCCAAGGTGTTGATCTGAAAAATGCATAGAGATGAAGCCCTTTCCATGCTTCTCAAAAGCTTTTTCGCCTAAAACCTGCAAATTGTAGTAGGAACTTTTATAGTTGTTCGAGTTTCAGTAAACAATGCCCACGGTAAATAGATGAGACAATAAATATACTTAAGAACAGCACATGCTTCTTCTTTTTCAAAGTTCAAAAAAAAAAAAAAATCAAAGGAGAATTTTTATTATTGAGGAAAAACTATGAGGCCCATAAAAGTCCAAATCTGTAACATATTTGCTAATACTGGAGAAAGTAGAGTAGAAAAAGAGGATTTCTTAAAAATTAAACCCATAAGACCTTTAGTTTCCTAATTTTTATCTTCCCCTAAATGCAGCCACACGTAAATTGGCTAGCTAATCAGGGTATCCTCACTCCTGAAGAGTGAAGCATAATATTTTGTCACTTCGACTCACCAAAATAAGACACTAGTCGCAACAGAGTACACTTTCTTGTTATTATTATTGTCCCACTAATTGCTCTAATCAATCACAATTCACAACGTACTAGTAATGACTCACAAGTTCACAACAAGAACTGAAATGAAACTAATGCCCATTCACAGAAATCCCCCATTTGAGAATAACAAGAAATCCTCTAAAAAATAAAACTTTATTTAAAAACCACGTCACAATTCACAAGCTATCACATCTAATACCAATTGCTAATGAGATAGTAAGTCGCAAAAACAACTTCGTAACAGAAAATTGAAATTAGTACTCAAATATTGAAATAAATTTCAACGCCAGGTAGTCAAAATATGGATTTAACAAAAAGCAAATTCTATAAACACATAATGAAAACAAAAGGAAACGCACAAACAAGCGGTTCTGCATCAATATGTGAATTATTATTCATAAGCAACACTTGAAGCGCCTGAACTTATTTTCTAAAGCCATAACGCCTTAAAAGTCCTGGCAATTTTGTCCAAAAGATTTGTGTAACAATCAGTTGATCAGATAAATTACATCAAAAACACAACCACAAATCAAAATAAAGAATACCCAACTGGAAAATCGTAGTCTTTAACATAAGTACTCTTAAGAATATAGGGATCAACTTCAACTTCTGATAGTCTAAATGTGGATTGAACAAAATGAATTCTGAACACATAATGAAAGGAAAAGGATCTCCAAGACAGAAACTTTGCTGCACTAGTATATGAACTAACAACCTCATAAGAATAAACAATACTAAATCGGAAAAATGATTCACAATCAAGAGTAATATTGATGTGCGAAGAGTCTCATGTCTTCCATGACGATATGCATAGATTAGCAACATAGGCTTGGCATAGGATTTCTTTTTCAACAAGATAATATTACCGCCATTAGCGTTCAAAAAAAAAAAAAAACAAAAAAACTTTATGCATTTGGACAAAGTTATCCGAATTATCCAACTGAGTCAACACCACTGATCATGGACGATTGAAAAAACAAAAAAACAAAAAAACAAAAAAAAGAAAGAAAGAGAACCTGATCAAGCGCAGCCTCAGAGATCAAATCACCAGCCACTTCTTTGGACTCTGAGATGACAGCCAACTCCTCAGCCACCCATTTTCTTCCATTGGGAGGACTCAAAACGCTCGCAAACCTCTGCAAATCCCTAACTTCCTTGTGCATGACCTTGGCCGCCTTCTTCTTCGCCACAGCGAAAACCACATGATCCATGGCATCATCATTCATATACACCTCGAAGTTGATCTCGTCCTTGCACGGCACCACCATGTTGTAAAGCCTCGATATCAAATCGTGCCTGCTCTTCAGCTCCATCGTCGCCAGAAGCCCCTGGCAGTACCTCCTCCCGCTCGCGTAGAACTTGAACACGTTCTGCCCCTCCTTCAGCAGCAACGGCGAGTCGTCGCCGTCGCCAACCCCGAGGAGGCTGAAATTCTTGTCAAAGATCGAATCTTTCGCCGCGAATTTCGCCGCCCAAGCGAGCGCGATGTTCTCGTTCTCGCGCTTCCCAGTGAAGTAGTTGATCACGAACATGATCAAGAAGCTCCCGCACGCGATCTCCACCACGTAAGAAGAAGATCTTGGAGAAGTTCCAGCCTTCTTCCGCACTGGCGAGGCTTTCGGATCCGAACTCCGATCGGAGGGTTTGGTATCCTCGGAATCGGCGCTCCTCGGCGTCGTCGTCTCCGGCGACGGCGGTTCGATCGGCAAACCCTCGAATTCGTCCTCGTCCCAATACTCGAAGCTGGTGGAGGAAGGCTGCTTGGGATGATCCGCATCGGCAGTCTGAGATTCCGGAGCCGGATAGGAGGGAACCGGATCTGGAACCGGGTCGGGTACGGGTTCGGAGCGAGTCAAGGGAGAAGGGGAACGCAGAGGGAGGGATTCGGTGGAAAGAGAATCGAGTTCTTCGTCGTCATCGGCTTCGAAGCCTTCGAAGTGGGAATCGGCGAGGACGTGATGGCGAGAGAGGAGGAGAGAGACGACTGAGAAGAGAAGGAGAAAGTATGGGAGAGAGAAACATGGTGGTCTTGCCATGAGAGAGAGAGATTAGTGAACAGCGAGTGATTGTTTTCTTCAGTGTTATTGTTTTGTTTGCGAGGAAGTAGGTGATGATGAAATGAATAAGCCGCAGCCAATTAACTGGAGAAATTGGTTTGGAGATACTTGGGTGTTATGGTAATTTTAATAATATATATGTGTACAACTAATTGAACTAATTGAATTATTATTTATAAATTATATGTTGACAAGTTGATTATTATATACTGAAATATAAAATTTCCCAAGCAAATTATATTTAGTGTTAATTAATTATTGAGACTTTTTTGCTGAAGAAGGTTTATTCATGTTTCTTTTTTTTTTTTGAAATGTTATTCATGTTTCTTTTTCCTCTGAAAGTATTATCAAAATAATTTATCGTCCATAAATGGAAATGGACATATTTTTCTTATTATTGAGAATATTGTTTCGTGGATTTTTTTTATAAACTGTTAGTTTTTTTTTTTTTTTTTTTTTTTTTTTGAGGAACACTAGTTTTAATTACTACAAGTCATTATTGTGATTTTGCATATGAAAAAACAAATTATTATTGTGATTAACTATAATGCCACAATAGTGACTTGTCTTAATTACAAAAATTATCTAACAGAAAAAAGAAAACGCTTACCTTCACAAACTTGCCATACGATTTGCTCGTGTTGTATAATTAAAATATTAGAGCAATACATAATTCATAAATTACACAATATGTCTTGGTAACTGATTATTGCACGTCCCACAAACTCTAACAATTTCAACAGATTATCAAAAAAAAAAAAAAAAAAGTCAAAAATAAACAGCAATAATTCCTAATGAAATTGATCTTTCCTTCCAAGTTCCAATAGTACCATTTCCGCGTAAAGAATTGTATAATACGAGTTCTAGATAAATTAAAGTCCCATCTCGATACACATTAAAGCCAAAAATAGGCATTTCTCAACACAAATATTCAGCATATTGCATAGTTACAGTTCATGTGAATAGCAATATGTAACAGGAAGTAAATAAATGTATGACTAGTATGTTAAAGGAACCCGCTAGCGCTTAAAAAACCAAAGTCCTTTAACAGGTTAAGCAAAACAGATTATTCCATTTCTCTCCATCGAAGCTGATGAGCAAAATCTCTTCCTGTTTCACATGGAAACACTCTTGAATTTGACGAGCACACATCTTTGAGATAGCAATGGAAGGAACTTGGATCATGGAAACAACACAATAACTTAGCAGATACTGCAATACAAGTACCACATGGAGCGAAAAACCGGCTCTGGTCGCGTACTTTGGCGCTCAAATACTAATACTATACTGGGGGTTTGTCTTCTTCCAGCAATAGATGAATTATCGAGCTGATGACCTTGTTAGAAGCGACATCCACATTCTGAGGCACAAGGAGAAAAAAAGAAGAGTGCATCATTTGGAGTTTTTTTCGGTTCTGTTAAGGTAGTGAGATCAAGATCAACATGATCTGTACCTCTGGTTTTCTAATCAGTTCCTTTAAAATAGAATGAAGAGTCGACCGAAGTTCCTTGAACAGAACAGCAGTTTGGGCTGGTGCCTTTAATTTTAACCATCCATCAATGGTAACAAGTCCTGTCTGAGATACCAATTGGAGAATTATGGAGAAATGCTAAACTACAGAGGCAACAGCTGTGATATTAATGAGTGCATCATTGAAAGACGGACAAGATGATACCTGATGTTGAACGTTAATGGAGCCACCAAACAGCAAAACAGAGTAGGGAGATATGATGGTGGTATCTCGTAGAAACACTTTGTTGGTTTCAACCTGTGAATATGATGAGATAAAAATCTTACCATATATGATTAAATGCTATCCTATGCCTATCCTCATTGTACGTTTGAGAAGATTCACATGTCAATAGTACTCCACTCCATTTCATGATTGGAATATAACAGAAAGCACCAAGTAATTTAAGCTAATCAAATTGGTGAATCAGTAATCAAATAGATAATATGCTTATGTGCATAAAAATCCCCATCAGAGAGTGTGTGTGTGTGTGTGTTTTTCTGTGTGTTATGCCATCACAAAGAACAAACAAAACTAATACCGCACTGACAATAGGAAAAAGCTAGAACTCATTAATAAATATAGTATGGATGAATTTTTTTTTTGGCCTGAAAAGTAAAGCACGTATGATTAAAAGCAAAATTAGAAACTGAGAATTATAGTTCAGAAACCTTTTCAAGGAAGACGAGGAAGGGATATCGAAATTCTTTCCAGTTACTGTTGATAGATGACGGGTGAATGTGAACTTCTCTTCTTCCATCATACCAGCTTGGATGACCTTTACTTGTAAGACCAGCAGATTGTTTAAGGTTGCCAAGAGCTACTCCAGCAATGCCTTTCTCAGTGGCAGCAACATTTGGGTATAAACCTGCAAATAATATTGCCTGCAACATGTGGCCCCAGTGTGAACTATTTGACTCAGATCTTGTGGAATATGTTTATTCGACTTTAGGAGATATACGATTCTCACGACTGGCAACAGGAAGAGAAAAAAAGAAAAGAAGACATAATGTGCAGGCAATATAAGCTCGGAAATGCATCCACAAATACCAGTGTACCTTAGACACGGACTCAAAATTCGACATCCATGAGATACGTATTTCTTTTTTTGGCTGAACTTTAAAATAAAACCCAGGATGTAGTGTCCCCATAAAAACAAGTTTTATTTTTTATTTTTTATATTTTTATAAATACAATTGAAATTCATGGAAGATTGTCCAATAATTTGCTCTTGAAGTTTTGAATACTTATGATTCTTTACCGGTAAACAAGGCAGAATGGTCTATAAGCAAATATAATTAAAAATTATCACAGAAAAGGGAAAGAGATCCAAGATCAACTAAATAGCAGGACGAGACCACATAGTTTACCTTCACTATTGGGGAATGATGTGAATACAAATTGAATGGCTGTGACGCATCAGAAAGCCAAATATCAAGATTCTCTTTCTTTCGTCCATTAATCTGAAACATGATGTTGGAACATTTAATCAATGTGGATAAATCACATTAAGGTTTTGGGTACAGAAGTCCTAAAATATTTAAAATATAATAGAAAACACTACTTTCTACATTCCCCAAATGATAAAAGAAAAAACTAGACCTGGAAGCTTTTTGGTAAATTGATAAGCCCAATATCTGCTAGTAAGGTTCCAAACTGTATCCTCATGTCTCTGACAAATCAGGCACAGAATGAGAAAACTATAAGGTAGAATCAGGAAAAATGTAATTATAATTTCTCGTAATGAAACCCCATAGAGTAGAGATTCCCAAATCTGAAACTGACGCCATTTCCAAACCCCAAGAATCTTGAGAAATCACGTCTCTTCAGTTGTTTTTTTCTTTTTTTGTTTTTTTTGTTTTTTACTTTATCTAGCAAAAGATTAGCATACTTAGTCTTGTACCAGACACTTCAAGCTTTGCTAAGCATGTTATCTTGTTACAATTCAAGGCCAGAGAAAAGAAACTGCACCTTATCATGTACATAACCGAACTGCTTAAGAAATAGGAATTGCAAAAATGTTGTGCAACTTTAACCCCTCTCTGCAAATATCAGGACTTCCTGGTGTTAGTGAACATTCTGGTTCAGACACATGCAACAGGTTATGCTGGTTGATGGTAATGCTATGTAAGCATGCAGTCAAGAACGTTGTTGTAATACGACTGAAAGATCATGTAACGCAAATGCATTTATTGAACATCATTAATCCAAGTAAAGAAGACATAATCAACCTCGCGCAGAATCTTTTCCCACTTCATATATGCAATCATCATTAACAGATGGTCAGATTGCCTGTCAACATCATATGAATTGCTAGGTCCATCCAGTTTATCAGTCAGAAGCGCCAACTTAGCCCTTTCAACATTTTCTCTCTGGAAATAAGCAGAGAGGAAAACAGATCCACAATGTAAATTATCTGGTTTAGAAGAAGAAGCAAACATCTCTTCAGCGGAATTGAAAGAGGAACCTCGTCTTTTGGATAGACAAATGGAGATTTGTGGCTCAAAAATGCTGAAATCGAGAGAATGGGTGATAAGCAACCAAATATTCCACCGTATATCATCATCTGCAGTTTCAAAGAATCGCAGCATAAATTTTGGTCCAAAAAGAAACTCAACATTATCATTTTTGTAAAACCCTATCACTTCTTTTTATCCAAACATAAGGCATAAAGGAAAGAAATATTAAGTGCTAACCTTTCCAATCAATACATCAACTGGAAGCTTAGCCAAATGATGTCCAAGCGGTGTCAAGAGTTCATCTCCTTCTAGCGCACCAACCTTCAAATAGCCCCAACATAAAATATTAATGTTAGTCTTACAAAGATAATGACACTGTCTAAAATGTGTGAATATGCATTTAATAACTAGCAAAATGTACAAAAAAATATCGTGAATGGAGACATCATGGAATATGCATAGTGATTCTATTGTTACAGGTGATTAACAAACATGCACAAAGATATTGGACTCAAATAAGTAGTACGACATCAAAAAACAAAACATGTGACAAGCTTATGCAATCGGGACATACATAATAAATCAACACATTCTAGTTCACAAATCAACAAAATCAGTATTTCCTTAATAATAAAGAAAACGCACTTAACTGTAGAAAATGAACCTATCATGTATTCTAATAACAGGAGGAAAGAACATATAAATCGATAGAAAATTACGAAATGTAAACAAAATAACATGACCAAATATAACCAATCAACTAGGCAATTACGTGGCTACTATTTCTCAGAAACAGGTATGTAGTCAAAGTAGAATTTAGTGCTAGTATCAACAAATCCAATTCAGTGAGAATCATCAATCCAATAACAAATACCTCATATAGAAGTGAAATTGCTGACGTCATGGCCTCATCCTTGGGAGGTTCTATAGCCTGTGACAAAAAAGTAAAAAGAAAATCTGTAAGATAATAGTGTCAAATGATAAACGATAAATTTTTTGAAGATAGTATTACGTACCTTGGACAAGAACGGCTTTATATGTCCCAAAGAAAGAAACTTAATTTGTAAGCACAACTCTACTAATGGAGTTCGAAGCATCTCTGGAACCTTGGTAGAGTAAATAGTACATTAGAAAGAATTGATATGGGTATAGAAACACATCTAACACATCCCCTTTGAAAAAATAGCTTCTTTGTCAAAATTACCTGAAAACGGCGCATAAGTTTTTCAAAGCGATGACATGTGTACAGGCAAAAGCAAATTCCAGGTTTCACACGTCCAGCTCTTCCTCGACGCTGCCTTGCATTTGCTTGAGATATCCAATCTTCAACCATGCTAGACAATTTCTACAGTGAAAAAAAAAGGTCTAAGCTAGTTGGTCCTGATAAAACGATCACAAATACATCACTGATTTTATTGATAGAGCCAAAACATGAACACGGAAGCAACGGAATCAGAACAGTCACCTAAGTAGGAGGAAGTGTTCAGCAGCTTAATGAATGCAAAAAGTCGTCAACCCATTATTGGATTGCCATCTGTCATTCCTAATATTCTCTTTAATGTGTTTTACTGTTTTTATTAAGGGAGTTTTCCCATCTTTTCTGTTCCTCTTATATAGCAGGTGCATCCGTAAACTACAAAGCCATAGTTGTCAAGGCAACTAACTGCGTCATATGTTATGATCTAACAAAAGTGAAACTGTTGATTGTCCACTTCTGCTCTAGAAGATATTTCTCTAAGCCATGAGAGATTTGATCATGATTAAATGAAAAGATATTTGCTTGAGAAATGTTGCAAATCTGCATTCTAATATATTTTAGGCATATCTTGTTTTTAAGAATGATTTTGTTCCTAAATAGATGGACAGCTCATATTTCTTTTCCATAATCACATTTTAGTCGTAGAGTTTGGAAGCACAAACCTTCTGTGGATTATAACGGTTCTCTTTATGCTTTCCACAGTCAATAACATACACCACATCATCTATTGTTAAACTGGTCTCCGCAATATTTGTGGCCACAATGACCTGAGACAACAATTATTGAAAGAAAATGTAAACACCTGGGTCACGAGCTAAGACAAAGCTACATGAATTTATATTCAAACAACTAAGTGAATTCAAGCATTATTCATCTTGTAGATTATGTAACTTTCGTCCTCTTATCTTGAATGTAAATCACCATGGGATTTACTTAATAATTAGACTTCTTTTTTTTTTTTTTTTACAAGAAGTTAATACTCACAGAATCATTGCCTAAAATAATTATGAAGAAACAAAGAAATTAAAATAAGTTAACAAAAGGTATGAATTAAGATAAAAAGAGTTAAAAAAGTGACAACATTACAGGGGGAAACATCCAAGAATTAGCCACAGTAAGTGGTAAAACTTGCCTTGCGTATGTTCTCAGGCGGCCTCAAGAACACCTTCTTTTGATCAGTTGATGCAATGGATGAATGTAATGGAAGAATCCAATCAGAAGACTGTCCACCAAATCGGTAAGAAGCAGCTAGCTTATCCACTAACATATGAATTTCGGCCACTCCCTGTTATGTACAGACTTAACTTATTAAATCGTTTTTTAGAAGATTTATTAATACGTCATGCAAATTTTTTATATTTCCCATTATTGTTAATTATTATTAAAGGGACTAAGAGGATGGGCTTACCGGCAAAAATACAAGTACAGCACCCTCACCACAGGTTTCATCAATGTGACAGACCAAGTCTTCAAGTAGATCATAATCAATGAAATCTTCATTCAATCTTTTCTGCACCAATATCATATTTGTTGTATTACAAAACCAACGCAAAGTAAAAATATGCCACACGTCAGAAATTGCATGTCTCAAAGCCACTAACCAAATTTTGTTGAGTTTGCTCACTATAGGATGGATAATCATCTGGAACATAATGCGGGTTAACATATTCTTCAGAAAGCAGAGAATCATCACCCCATGCAGATAAAACAAGATTTTTCTTCCCCCTTCGGTTGTTTACAGGACCACCCTGTGATTTCACAATTCAGGAATTCAAACTCCGAAGAACAAAATGGACATATAACACAGACAGAACATTCATATAAACAGAAAAGCTGGCGTATATCCAACAACACAGACACTAGGTATGGAGGCTGGCAACACAAACAAATGACATTAGAAGTAAATTCCGAACAAAAAAAGTAAGTGAAAGATGCACAGAAATGGAAATCTAGGATCCCGTTTGAGATACCTTTTCTTTTGTAAATGTTTCATATCTTATAGCGGCTGCAGAATCTGAAGCCAGGCGGTAATTGATACTTTCATATATATCCTCCAGAAAGTAATTTGTCACGGGATGTGTTCTGCCTTCTGCAGTAATCACAGGGCAGTCACCAAAGTATCTTGAAAACAAATTTGAATCAACAGTTGCAGACCTGAAAATTGAAATCACAGAATTTAAAACTAAAACATTAAAACTAACAAAGCATAAAAGAGAGATTGAAATGCAAGCGTACATGAGAATAACTTTCAGTTTTGGAGACTTATGAGCTGATTGTTTTTCAATCAGATTCTTCAGAACAATAAGTAGAAAGTCACCCTGTTAAGAACCCAAAAAATCTGTAAATTTATCTTCTCAATCAGAGGGTTTCCAAGGGTAGCTTCTAATAATGTTCATAAATGGAACATAGCGGCAGGCAGCAAAAGGAACAGAGAAAAGAGTGATCACAGTCGTGCTTAATGAGTAGCCAATAAATAAGCCAAGTCTAAGCTATAGAAAGTACCATTAGAACGTTGCTATCAGGGGGGAGGAAGAGAGAGAGAGAGAGAGAGAGATCATTCATGCATTTGATTGACTTTGACTTTGAGTTGTACCAGTCGTTTTTGTCACGACATTCATGACTATATTCCAGCAAAACCACCTAAAAGTATAGTCACTCACCAAAAGAGACCGTTCATGCACTTCATCAACTATGACATGGGTAATGCCAGTCAAGTTTTTGTCTCCCTGCAAATTGAACCAATTAGTAACTCGAGACTCTTTTTGTGAGAGGAGTTGTTGAAATAAATCCATGATGAGAAACTAGGACTTAAGAGAGTATTATACTTGACCAGTTAATTTACCATCACCATGCATGTGATACAAGTTACAGCAGACTCGGAAAAGAGACAGAGAGACAGAGAGAGAGACAGAGCCTAAATCAAACTGGTGCGCTCACCGCAATTTTCCTCAGAAGAATGCCCGTTGTACAAAACAAAAGCTTTGTTTTTTCATTCCTGACACGATTGAAATAGACAAATAGAGAGTGAAGCTCCAATCGTTGGTGGAAAACAATACAATGATGTTATACACGCCATTCATGGTGTCTGTGCATGTGTTATACTCTGCAATTATAAAATAGATCAAGCAAATGAACACCTTGCACTATCAAGGCGAACTTGATAACCAACCAATGAACCATTTGAACCAGGTGAAGGTTCACAGCGCTCATCAGCAACCCTTTCGGCCACAGAAATAGCCTATAATTACACGCAGCAAATCACAAAACATAGTTCGGTAACTAGAAACCATTTCACCATATCTAATAAAAAATCAACAGGAATAAAGTAATTAACGGAAAGGAATAAAATCCTAAATTTACCAACGTCATCATCACTTTATGTGTCTTGCAGTTTCCAGCCATAGGAATCTTTCAAAATATTTATTGATAGGTCAATCTACTATGACTTTAAACGTAGTTGTCTTGATTTTTCACTTCCTTGATACAGGCATAGTAAACATTTTTGCACCAACTTTAAGGTGAAGTTTCAAGAATTTTCCAGGCCATACTTGTGATATATTTACACAGTGAAAGAATCATTCAGCTTTAAGGATACTATATATACCCCATTATCGTTTTTCTTGTAAAAATGATTTCTAGAGAACGACATTAATCATTTGCAAGACACCTTGCAAAATAAAACAGAAAACAGGCATGACAGAATACAGCTCGAAAACCAACCTTGTGATGATGGAATTAGGTATAAAACAATAGAATAGCTAGTGCTTATAAATGATAATAGTTATTCCAGTTACTTATCCAAAGACTCAGTTAATGCACACATCAATGAACCTTGCATTTAAGTACAGATAATTATGCACCCACCGCTATTCTCCTTGGTTGTGTGCATATAATATTGCAGTGTCCACCAAGTCCTGATTCGATCATGTCATCCAAGATAAATTGTGAAACCTACAGAATATTTCAGAGGTACCCTTTTAAATAAAAAGGCAGGAAATACACTTTGGAATCAATGTCAAATACAGAGGGCCAGAAGAAAGCTGTTAGCATGTCGCGGGGGGGGGGGGTCATATTTATAGTTTGTACTCTGAACCAAATCATTTGAGAACGAACATCTACCTGAGTTGTCTTCCCGGAACCTGTTTCCCCACAAACAACGAGGACGTTATTCTCTTTCAGTAATTTCAGTATATCACCTTTTAAATGAGCTATAGGAAGTGCAGCTCTAGTTTTCAACATGTCCTGAAACAGGGAAACATCTGAATAAGTAAATTCAATAGAGCACAGCACATATGCTATGATTGTAACGGATGTATACAAATAATAGGTCCTCAAAAGAAAATTTTGGTTTACATCACCACCAAGCAGTGACAACCTTATTAAACACTACCATGCAGTATGCTTATCAATGCCTCAGAATATACTACTATAGCCCAAACAACGAAAGTTAGGGTTTTTGACACTATGATGGTGGAATAATAGGATTTGGGATTTCTGGTAAGAGAATAATCAATACAGATTTTGTTTGATTTAAGATTAAGATATGTCGGGAACTTAAGCCATTTGAACTGATAATCTAAGTTCTGCTTGACTTAAACCTATACTCTAGAAACTTGAACTTAAACTATATAAGACTTGTCTCGAACAAACTAATGGACGTATTTTCCAATTACCTCTGAAAACTTTTGTTTATTAAGAACAACAAATATACCAACCTTGTACTTTTGCATGTTCAATTTATTCTCCTGTTCACGTCTCAGATAAGAGCTTTCCACTTCTTTATGATAATGTTCTCCTGCAACATAACAGTGAGAACAACTATGGAGGCAAAAGAAAGACGGTAATTAGAACAGTTACTTCATTGTTTTTCTACCCCAAAGACAAATCTTTGAGTTGTCCCATCAATTTGTGTTTGATCAGCCTACAATTATGTTGGCAGAGAATATTTCCAGGTTAGCATGTTCTCACTTCTTTTATTTTAATCATGTTGCGAGCAGATGATTGCAAGTGCTCCAGGAATTTATCTCAACTCAATATGGACCAGTCGACCAAGGAGACCTTACTAATACATGAATAAGATTTGTGTCTTTTACCGCATACAAAGATCTAATACGTGATCATTGATGGTAAGACCACATTCACAATCTTCACACCTAATGCATAAAAAATGTCAAGCTACCATGTCGATTTTAATTCAATTCTACAACGAACTTGATAATCATATCAATTTCTTCTCATTTCCTATGAGACGCAAAAACATAAGAAGAACTATAATCTGCTGGGAACAAATATTTTGTCTAAATTTACAATAAAAATAAATTCAGATACAACATTTTGCTTTAAAATGCACCCAAAAGAGAAATAAAGGAACATACTTTCAAAAATTGGATTGACACCAGAAACAGTTGAATTTTTATTTCCTTCAATTAATGATTCTTGATTTTCTTGGAAAACATTCTCTGTAACATCAGTAGGAACCGTTGACGCAGAACCATCAGCATTCAATAGTGAGTCCACAAAGCTCGCTCTCCGAACTTCCTCGCTTTCTTCTATATTGATCGACGAATCCCCTGAAAGAGTTTCAATTTTATGGCAATCTTAATCCACCAAACCAGCACTAATGATTTGTGTAGCAACAAATAACTACAAACAAAAAAGGCTATCAAAAAGACTTTACACCAGAATCATGCAAGGCTAAATAGACTGCATATTAGCAATTCAAAGTTTCATGTGAATTCAACTTATTCTGGATACTTGGCTTGAAATGCAAATTGAGTTACCTTCTTTCCACTGGAAAACCAATGAAGCATATGGCTCTGTAAGTATTAGGTGTATTGGGAGATCAGAAAACAGATGATAAAGAGCAAAAGCGGCCACTCTATTTTGTGCATCCTGGAATCAATACAGTTCATATAACTCATAAGTCATCTTTCAAAATAACTAAATGGTTGTCTTTTTGTAGTTTTATTAACAGGCTATATATTTTATAAAATATCTAAAAATTTGAAAAGGAATCAAAAATCATATGGAACGTCCCATTTTGTTGAGTGAGTACAACAATGAGCATCATATATTCAAAAGTACATAAAATAAATAATGTGCCAACCATCAAATATGCAACAAAAGATGAATAAGCAAAGCTGAAAATTAAATGCCACAATAACATCTGCTTCAATGATCGAAGGCATATGCCTTTAAATAAATATAAAAAATCAAGCCTTTTACACAGCTTTGCTCTTGTGCCTTTTGCTAAGTATGGTAAAATGCCATATGGAAGAGTAGGGATAAGTAATTTACCTCAACAGACTCAAAAGTTTCACCCTCGTCAGGAAGCTGAAGAGTGATCAGCCCCCCAGCTTTTCTACTCTTACCCCATCCACTAGCTTTACGCAATACACTGACAGTGTAAGAGAAATTGTTTCCCTTTCCACGCACTTTGTTGAAGTTTGGGGCTTCCCACCCTGACCTTTGACATAACTGATGAAGAACAGCCTTAGGTATCTTTGGAGGGTCACCCTGTCATTTTTAGACTTCTACTTAAATCACACACCTTATTTACTAAAAAGAAAATAATAATAAAAATAAGTGTAACAAAGCATTGCATTGCTTACGCTACCTTTTTCCAAATACCACCTAATTTCTCCAAATTTTTCTCACTCATTTCTTTCATCTTCTCTTTCTTTTGCAATTTATAAACTTCTGTAGACAAACTTTCATCAAGTGGACCATCTTCTGAGAAGAAATTACCAAGCTCTACATCTCCAGACTCTTCTTCTCCAACAATTGTTTCCTGAGCAGGAACATCTGTGAGAGTAGGTTTAACTGGAGAGTCTTTGGAAGTGCACAACTCCGTCTCATTTCCATCACTTGTTGATTCAGCAGCATGTAAAACAAATATTGAATCACGTTCTACATCACCAAATGTGTCTCCTTCAGACTGCTTGTCCGGCATGGAAGTAACATTTGTTGCCTCAGAAGCAGCATAAAAGGCTTGTTCATTCTCAAATTCTGACTCCAAGATGTCAACTGATAATCCTGCACAAAAATTCCAAACAAGCACTATGTGAAGCAAGAAAGAAATTTACAAAAGGTAGGCATGAAACATGAAAGACATCAAAATTAACCTAAAGCAGAACACTCTTGCTTGAGCTTGTGGATGATGTTTCCTGCCTGTTCCTGACTTTTCTTGTCACGTTTTTCTTTGGCTTTCATAGCTTCCAGCCGTGCAGCACAATATTCTTTAGCAATCACGTCATAGGGCCTTGGTTCAGATATCTATTTAGATGGATAAAATTGAGTGGTAATAGAGTCATCTCTTTAATGTGTCAAGCAAATATCCATAAGAAAAACATGAAATAGGAATGCAAGTTAGATCAAACAAATCCTCTAAAGAAGCTATGCTTCTGTTATTGCGAACCTTAAATATGAAGACAACAGATCCAGAAATCAGGAGACTCATTTAGTAATAAGAATAGTAAATGAAAAGTACCTTCTCGGTCAGACCTTCATCAAAATCATCTTCCCATGTTCTAGATTCATCCTGAAAATAATATAGAACTAACTATAAGATTTTTACGACACGAGCTACTTCATCAAGCCTTTCTAACACCAATAGTGCATCTCACCAAAATATATATACACACAAAAAGAGACATACAGTCAACCGACAATGATAATATTCTCAAGTTCATAAAAAGACGGATGAATAAAGATCGGTAAACACAGCATATTCAAAATACCCCACAAAAACGAAAAGAAAAGACATAACTTCAGTATGCCTTCTGTTAATACCTCTTCCTGTTGTTCCACATATCGTTTAATCCAATCTGCCTGAGAAGGTTGAAATGAGTCCAAACTTTCATCATCCCCACGACCCTTTGTTTTAAGAGAAACGCCTAGTTCACCGTCATTAATCTTTGGAGAAGCATCCACTGAAGGAGTCCAATCGTCTCGAGAATTCAATAGGACACGAACAGAACCACCTGCCATAATAACACCAACGTCACAGTAATAGTTAAGGGAAAATTCTATCTATCAGATGATGCAATCACCACATATGGGGCAGTGTAGGACCCAGTTGTCATACTTTTGCCATGTGACTCTTCTATCCTGCTACCACATGTGCGTTAATGCATCATCGGTGGTGATAAATAGAAATGCTCTAGCATAATGCCAAACAATTTTACATCCTAACCTACTAAATTCTAAACAAGGTCTAGAGCAATCAGGTTTCCATTTAGCACAAGTATAATTCTACCTCCATCTATTTGCTGCGATATTCCACTGGAAAACTTCAATGGAAGCTCATTACTAGGCAAATTCAAGCACAGCCAATCAAGAGAAGCGTCAAACGTAGCACCCTCCTACTCAACACAACGAAACAGACGCTCATTTTGAAATCGACTGAGCATGAGCAAAATAATCAGAAATCTTCATAATCAGTAAGAATTTGGACAAATTGCTTTGCATACCATGAAATTGATTTTTTTTTCCAGTCAACGCCATACCAGATGTTTAACACAAGACTAGAAAATCCAAACCTAGCTAAAACGTGTCAATCATCAAACAGATTTGTATAAATTAAGGAAGGGAAAAATGAAGGTTGAAAAGGAAGGAACCAAAAGATTTTCTCTTAAATTTCGTACATTTACTTCAAAGCCGAAGAAAGTATAAATGAAGAGAATCTGATCACGAAAAAGTAATAATTTGCACCGACCAAAATGCATTATCGCCGACGAGTTCTTTATATTCTCGGTGACCAAACATTCACTCAGAAAGCGAAGAAAGAAGTGTTAAATCTGATTATCAAAAGGAAAAAGAGTAGAATTTGCATTCTCTGATCAAACTGTATCACTGCTGACGAGTTCTTCTTTTTTTCTCTCTTCATTTTCTCGCTAACCGAACAGAAAATGAAAGTGAACAAAACATTTCTCTTGAATTTCGTATATTTACTCGAAATCCGAAGAGAAAAAGTGTAAACGAAGAGAATATGATCACCAAATAAAAGAGTATAATTTGCAGTATCTGATCAAGCTGCATCAATCGGTATGAGCTCTTCTTTCCTCTCAATCCATTTTCTCGGTGACCAAACAGAAAATGAAAGTGCAACACTCTGAAGGTTACCTTGAGAGCAGAGAGAGCAAGCTCGATTTGAGGATTGGTGAATCCTTCGCAGGAGAGCTTCTCGTAGATGGTTTTGAGCTTCTTGGCCTTCTGAGCCTTCGAGAGCGACTCGTCCACCGGAGCCGCCGCGGGCTGCGCCGTCCGGCCCGAGTTTAGGAGGAGCCTCCGGAGGCGGCTCTCGTTCTCCGCCGAAATCTGGAGCCTCGGACCGGACGACGACGATGACGACGTCCTTTTGGCGGTGGTTCTCTGCTTCTGCTGCTGCTGCTTTTTCGGAGCCATTCTTCCTCTACACTTCTTCACGTTTGGTCTCAGAGAAGAAAGAAAAGCAACGACGACAGCCAACTACATCTCGTTCAAGGACATACGACGTGAAGTTTACTAGTAAACGACATGTGGCTTTGTGCTTAAACTGAAGAACGTTTTAAAGACATTAAACGATGTCGTTTTCTACAGAGCAGACAACTTTTGGTTTCTATTAAGGGAAAAAAAATGACGTGTCGTGCGACTTGTGTATCGACGACTGGATTTTAGTTTTAAACGACTTATGTATGCCGTTTTAAAAGCTATAAACTACATTTTGTTATGTATCTTTTAAAACGTCGTTTTCAATTTACATGTTACTTTTACGTCAGTAAACGACATGTATTTTACTCTTTGCACCAAACATAAGTAACATTTATATTTCCCAAAAAAGACAACATATTACATATTAGTGGGTAACAAGTCATCTTCAAACACCCCATAAACCGACCTGCTTAACCTTGAAACAACAATCTCCTCACCCACCACACTTTCCCTTTCAAGTTCTCTTCTTCCTCTAACAGTTTTGTAGTAAAAGCAAAGAAATTAAATCCAAATCCCCACAAAAAAGAAAAATAATAACCAATATCATATTAAATAACATTTATCACCACTCTCTCTTTTTCCCTCTTCAAGTCGTGCAAAAACTCACAAACCACACACAAAGAACGCCAATGGAAACCGCAAAACAAGACTCCCACTCCGTCGTGGACACGTCCCGCCCCTTCCGCTCCGTCAAAGAAGCCATCTCCATCTTCGGCGAGCGGATTCTCGTCGGCGAGATATACTCCTCCTGCTCCTCTTCTCCCAAGCCTAATAATAACAATCGCGTCAGCGCCTTCTTTAACATTTCTCCCGTTAAAGAAGAACCAACACCAAAAGTCCAAAACGACAATGAAGATTTTGTTGATGCTCTAAAGAGAGTGGAGACTGAGCTTGAGGAGGCCAAGGCGGAACTGAGGCTGCTGAGGGTTAGAGAGCAGGAGACCGAGGTGGCGGTGGCGTCGCTCAACGCGGAGCTCCACAAAAACATGTCGAGGCTGGCGGCAGCCGAGGCGGCCAAGGCGGCGGCAGGTGGTGGTATTAATGATGAGAAGGATCAGCAAGAGAAGTGGAGGAGGGAGCTGAGGAGGAGGATGGAGAAGAACCCAACTTTGGCTCAAATACTGAGCCTTGGACCTGATGAGAAGGACACGGTGAAAAGCACTATTACTACTACTCATGATTTTGGAAGAAAAATGATGGTGAAGAAGAAGCCTATTGTTCCTCTTGTGGGAGATTTATTTTCCGGGAAAAAAGGGTCCAGTCCTCGTACCACAACAAAGTACTCCTAATTAATTATTATCATTGAGAAGATCATCAATTAATTGTATGTGCGTCCATTTGTGTTTGTATAATTTGCATGTGATCATGTATTAGTTTTAGTTTAAGTTGTTTCTCTCCAAAGTCTAATATCTCCAGTCCTCCCAAGGGTGGTTAATTTTCTGAGACGTGAATGTGGTATGCATATCTTCCATGTTAATTTGTTTGTCATTTTCTCTTTTTTTTCCATTTTTCTTTTGTTTTTAGTGGAATGAGCTTTGTTTTATATGTATCTGCTACAACGTTACATGTATTAAGGAGTGTCTTGTCTTTTATTTTTCAAGAATTATTTTAATTCTTTAATTAATAAAGAAATGGGGGAGACAATTATAAAAAGTAAATGAATTGAATTTCAAATTTATATGTGACAATTATATATATATATATGTGTGTGTGTGTGTGTGTGTGTGTATAATGATTACATTATAAATATTACAACATGCTTTCTATTCTAGAATAAATTTCTATACGTCATCACGTCAATAAAAAACAATACAATTTTTCATTCTTCAAATTCATTATCCAATTGGCCTCAAATTAAAAAAAAAAAAAATTATTGGCATCATCACATTTCTCGTTTCCCAAACGCCCACCTTAATACTAAAAATTCAGGAACAACCCAAAATGAAATGAAAAAGAGCCACTGAATTCTACTAAAGAAAAAACAACCTAATGCTTCACTATCCACCCTCAAAGGAATTAATTTTCAACGTTATTGATCATTATCTAAATTAAAAATGAAAAAAAAAATCGAATCATAATTTGTTTTTAGCCAAAAAAAAAATCAAAATGTTATGTGTTTAGGGAATAGATATTGGGCCAAGTGAAGTAGACTGAGGCCCAATGCATTTGCCTAGGCCCATATCAAAATTTGTTCAGTACGTGGACAATATAAAATCATCAAAAACGACGGCGCCAAACGAAGACACCGGGACAGAGGGGAGAGAGTTCATCTTCGCTTTGTCTTGGTCCATAATATATTTTAATCGTCGTCATATTCTACCGTTTGGTTCTCGAGATAACCAGAAAGAAAATCAACGAAAAAGAGAAAAAAAAATTGAAACTTTTGTTTTCCTCTCTCCTATTGTTTATTCCCATTCATACAAAGAACAAATTTCTATTAGGAGTAGAGATGCAAGCCGTGGTGCTGAATTCGCGACCGTACTGCAGAGCCCAACAAACCCTTCAACCTCCATCGGTCTCCAAGGTTTCCACTAATTTCTCTCAAAAGATTTGTTGTTTTTTTTTCAAATTTTAATCGGTTTTTTTTCCGTTAATTAGTTAATAATTGTTGAAATATTTGGCAGAACTGGAGTTCCTTAGGAAGCACTCATGCTTCTTTTAGAAGAGGGCATTTTCCAGTACGGCGTTGTTTCATTCGGATTCGTTTGCCTTCCGCTTCGCGAGGGTTAGGTTTGTTTTTCTTTTCTTCTTATTATTATTCTTCTTCTTCCTTTTTTAATTGCTTAGGGTAGGAGGGTTTATGGAGATGCTTTGATTTTTGTTATAAATATTGGATCGATTGAGTTGGGAAATCGATGTTCTATCTCGTTTTAGTGTCAAAATGTTTTTTTTTTTTTTAATTTTGGTTGCTGCTTGAAAATTTCTTCAAAGAAAATGGTTTCCAAAGATTTAAAGGCGTGTTTGAAATTGATCATATTTTTATTTTTCACATTTTTTGAGAGAAACAAATGAAAATGTTAAAAACTGCTTTTGATGTAATAAAGATAAAAAATGAAAATGAAAACGATTTTTTGGTTTAGTGTAAAATGAGAGAGAGATGAAGGTTGTGGTTGAAGTTGATTTTATTTTTGTTTTTTACATTTTTTGAGAAAGAAAAAATGAAAACAGGAGAGAAACGGTATTTGATACAATTAAAGACAAAAAACGGAAATGAAAATAATTTTTTAGTTTAGTGTAAAATGAAAGAGAAATAAAAAATGACTTTTAGTCATTTTTCATTTTTTATTTTCGTTTTCTCTTCTCTTGAGCACATAAGGAGGGAGAGACATTAATGAATTTTTTTATATTAAAAATAATCTCTTGATGAAACTACCAAACGCATTTTTAAAAATGATTTATGTCTTAGATTAAAAACATTTTCATTTTTATTTTCACACAAAAAATAAAATCATTTTGGAACGAGTTCTAAACGCACCCGAAAGTTTTTCATTTCTTGTTTTCGTTTTTTCCTCTCTCGAGCAGAGAGAGACATTAATGGATTTTTTTTATACTGAAAATAATATCTTGATAAAACTACCAAACGCATTTTTAAAAATGATTTTTATATGAGATTGAAAACGTTTTCATTTTCATATAAAAAGTAAAATTATTTTGGAATGAGTTCTAAACGCGCTCAAAATTACCGTTGATTTGAAGTTACAATTTATAATTTATGAGTTTCTTCCATAACCATGAATTAGGTTGGAATAGATGTAGTTAGAGAATGTAGAGATTTTGTTTTTTTCTCTCCCTCTTTACCCTGCAAGTGGGTCAGAAAATAGTGCCCAAGTAATGTTGATCAGCTAGTGTACTCCAAATTTAAAAAAAAAAAAAAAAAAGAGGGTCTGGCAGCTAAGCGTTAGAGTTTGACTACGTGATGTAGGAGTTAAGGGACTTAGGTCTGTTCGCTTCGTTAGTTCAAATCACAACTCAAGTTTTTGCTACAGTATTTTTTCTCATAAAAATTCATTTTCAACTTTTGTTGTTACATAGTTTTCTCTTACATGAATTCACTTCTTAACGCAAGTTATCAACTCGAACAAGCGAAACGAATAAAATCAAACTTGTTGTACTAGGGGGTTATTTGTCATATTTGTCAACTCGAACAACCTAATGGTTATGTAGGGGTGGTTAGGATAGGTAACTGTAGAGTGTAGAGCTAATTAAAAGTCTATCAAAGGCTTTCTTCGTATTCAGATTAAATAGAATTTGCTTGATGTTGATTCAGTAAATTCTCTCTCTAATTCAGCCTAAGAACTCCTAGAAAGAGTAAACTTCTCTCTAACCGGCTGCTAGGCATAAACTTATTTTGTCTTGTTCTTTTCAGCATTTAAATATGTGAATTGAGTAGGGAAATGTAGTGGACAATCTTTTCTCTTACTCTCTTTGTTGTAATCTGTAATGTTTTCCCATAAATGTACAGTTGTAAAGGCTGTTGCTACTCCAAATCCAGCGCTGGAGTTGCCACTAACTGCGGAGAACGTCGAAAGTGTATTAGATGAAATCCGACCGTATCTAATTGCAGATGGTGGGAATGTAGCTTTACATGAAATTGATGGAAATGTGGTGCGTTTGAAGCTACAAGGAGCATGTGGTTCTTGTCCAAGTTCTGTTGTGACTATGAAAATGGGCATTGAGCGTCGCTTAATGGAAAATATTCCTGAAATAGTTGCAGTGGAACCAATTGCAGATGAAGAAATGGGATTGGAGTTGAATGAAGAAAATATAGAGAAGGTAATTTCTCATATCTAGTAGTGGCTACTGGCTTACTGTCATACAGTTAAAAGTTAGGAGAGTGTGTTAATACAACATCTTTGTAGAAAGTAGTGCTATTATTGGTTCATCCTTTGATAAGAATTCTATTGAGAGAGAGAATTTTTCAACGTTTCACGCGACCTGGGTGGTGTAATATTCCTGTGGGATTCTTATCAAGTCACGGCTAACGAGGCTTGTCTAAATGCTATGAATCTAAAAGCTGTACCAATGGTCAGTGTTAGTTTATATACTTTGTCCAGCCAAACCCAAAGATGATGGAAATTTCACAGCTTCACGAGCTAGTTTGATACGTGTAGGATGCAACTGAGAAGAAATTGGACAGAATTCAATTGTTTTGTTGTTATTCACATTTCACCCAAGCCCCTAGCTAGGGAATCTTTTCTTTTTCTTTTTTTGATGTGCAATTGCGATTCTGTTGTATGATAACTTGCCATTTCAGGTACTTGAAGAAATAAGGCCTTATCTAGTTGGGGCAGCTGGTGGGTCTCTTGAGCTTGTGGCAATTGAAGAGCCAATAGTAAAAGTTCGGATCACGGGTCCGGCAGCAGGGGTCATGACTGTAAGGGTTGCTGTCACTCAGAAATTGAGGGAAAAAATTCCGGCCATTGCCGCTGTTCAGCTTCTATCTTAGATCTTCTCACCTGGTATTTGTCCCCATTTTTTGTCAAAAGTCCTTCAGATAAAATAAAGTATGTATAAGCGCTTTACCGATAAATGTATTCAAATATGTACAGTTTCGTGTTTAGATGCAGTGTTGTTACTTGATAATATTTATTATATGGGGGCTTTTACGAGCTCTTCACCGCTTTTTGCATGGATTTTGAAGGGCCATAGTAATTTTCTGTTTGTGCGTCTTTTCTCACTTGCACTATAGATACGATAACTTGATTGGAACAAGGGACAGAAACATTAAAATAAGACACTAGCAGCAAGAATGACAGGAAAATTCAGAAACGACAACGTTGTGAAAAAAGACAAAAAAGAACCATAAAGGATTTTGAAACGATCTTTTGAGTTAAGAATGACATTTCGGACAAGAGAATATGAAAAGGTTAAGGAAAAGTAAATACACGATGGATGCATAACAAACAACAACATTATGGGAACAGAACAAATTCTAAAAGTCAAAACGACAACAATATGTGAAAACAAAACAAATTTTAATGGCAGAAAAGTAAAACGACAAGAGTTTTTTATAATGACGATTAATTATGAGCATTTGTAACATAAAAACGGAATGACGTAAAGAAACGCTCAAGAACAAGATGAAAACACAAGAACAATAAACGACAGAAAACCAACAATAAATTAAAAGCGACAATAGCATTAAAACTACAGCTATTTCGAAAACAAGGAAAACCAAAACGATAAAATATGAAGGAAAAAAAAAAAGAGAACATTTGATAAAGGAAAGCATGAACCGAAATAGGACAAAAAATATGAATTGCAAACAGAAAAGACAAAATTTTGAAAAACGGCAATACCTATTAAACGAAGCATACTCAAAAAAACGACGATATTCAAAAAAGTACAACTTCTAAAATACCAAACAAGGAGGCTATCAAAAACAAGACAACTACCTGAAAAGACCAAAAAAAAAAAAACGACAGTAAAAACGACAAAAAACGACATTAATTACAAGTATAAAGACGACAAAAATCTATGAAAGGCAACCATCTCAATAGCGACGAAACGATGACTGTCAACACGAGAAACTGATGAGAAACGACAATAACATTTAAGAAACCCCTAACAAATAATTCTTAGAGAACATTGGTGAAGATTTTACGTAGATTTTACAAGTCAAACAACCGTGCTCTAACATAGAAAGTGGAAGCAACGAGAAGAATTTGCAATGTCAGCCACCAAAGCAACTCTCAACGACTTTGTTTTCGTGAATCCGTCAAAGAATTGGAAAAGAATAATCCACTCTCTTGATTGATTCATAAAAGATATGTGAAATATAAAGAGTACAGAGATAAGTTACATTTGACAATAATAATTGGTAATGGTAACAAAAAAGAAAATAATAATGATAAGGATTCTCACTGTCAGTCTCTTGAACAAACATATTTGATCAAAATGAATCCACACCCTTCATTCCTTAAAAAACGATAGGGTATGTGAAATATAGCGTACAAAGATAAGTTACATTTCGGCAAAAACTATTGGCAATGGCAGAACTAAACAGCGACACATCTGTGAAAACACGAGAGCAGATTTGATCATATTAGGTCGCTGCTCCTGAAATCCCTACCTGCCATTTCCAGATTGCTCTTGGAGTAGCCATTTGTATTCTCAATGACAATAGAGTTTAATCAATGAATCAGCACCAGCAGTGAATAACCAGGGCTGCCTTGGATGGAACTTACAGTCCATCACACCTGTAAAATGTACACAAGACATTAGCGACGTCTTACCACTAAGAACTTTTTTACATATTAACTGCGAAATCATTTCATTATATTCATTTTGTTTCTAAACATCATAGACCATATCCAATAAAAATGCTATAGTTAGCACCAAAAAGTGTGAAAATGGCATGTCTGATATGCTATTCTATTTGTGCCCCAAGGCATAATGATATTTCAAATGCTATAATGCATTGGAGAAACAAATAGAATAATACGTCACATTACCAGTTTTACATTTTTTTTGTTTTTTAGAACACCCTTTTTTTTTTTTTACCAGGTATATAGTATTAGCCTTGGCATTTGAATTTGCATTGAAGATGACCTTATGTTCACTTTCATCAATTTCTCAAGCGAAGATAGTTTAAGTTGAAATTCTCACCTCTCCCATTTGAGCTTTTATGTCCCCGAAGAATTTCCAGCGGAACAATAAGAGGATTCTGGTTGAGATCTGAGTAAACCATGCCATGAAAAACATACGCGGTGCAATCATCAGAGCACGACGCGAATAGGGGGTATGAACGATGGAAAGCTACATTGTTGATGTCTTTAGGATGGCACCTATGAACAATTTTCACACCACACATTAGAGAAATATACCCCATAACTAAAATATAGCAGGTAAATCTAAACTGAAACAGATAATGATCATACTTCAAAGTTCTGTAAGGTTGAGATGAAAGGTCCATGTCAAACCAACACAACTTCCCTTCTCTGCTCCCCACAATCAAGTTATCACCTGCATAGAAAGTACAGTTAAGAAAATCTTAGGACAATTCACACAATAATTACGAAAACAATCAGAATATGAACAACAAAGTAAAGTTTCTTTGGCTTGCAACCATAAAAAAGTTGTAATTTTTGGCTCTGGATAAAAAAGTTGTAATTGTTAGTAAATGAAGAATCATAGCCTACCAGCTGGATGAACAGAAATGGAGGAAATTTCACGCAGTCCAGTCTCGAGCTTTTTGATGAACTTTTGTTTCACCAACTCATAAACGCGAACATTCTTTTTTGTTGCAATGAAGAAAATGGAACGAGTAGGATGGAAAACAGAAGTCACTGGAAGCCCGTGTAACTTGAATGGAATTCTTTGGGTTAGCTTCTTAGATATTTGATGAATTACAACAGCCCTTGATTCGCGTAATAAACAAGTCAAGGAAACTTGTGGCAAGAATTAATTTCGAACAAGCGTCGAAAAGCGTGGGAATTAATTAAAACCTACCCGACCCAGCCGATGATCTACAGAACTAAAGAATTGTTCGTCTTTGTAAAAAAAAAAATAATAATAATAATAATAATTAAAAAAATTAATATAAAATAGAAATGTAAAAAATGTATAATAATATAATAATAATAAATAGTCATACTAAAAACAAACATGGGTCGTCAAAAGAGACAAATGAATCTTGCAGATGGGGGAAGAACCATGTGAATATTCATACTGAAAAAAAAAAAGGATATCTGCTGGCATTACTACAGAAAGGTAGTCTCCTTTGCGATGCCATTCTACTGAAGATGCAGTCTAAAAAAACCCACGAAAAGCAATTATAAGTCTACAGGAAGCCATTCCATCATTATTAACATCTTTGAACTACTAGAGAATTTCAATTACAATTTAAAAAAAGAAAAGCCCTGTACCTTGAAATGTCTCAATCTGATTCCCCCATGCTTATCATCCTGATGCCAGCTTGCAATGGATGCAGTGTTGTCTATGCCAAACAAAAAAAAAAAATTGGTGAGAAACTACCATGCTATTCATCTTTATATATTGAACTAATACTAAAAGCAATCTCACTGACCAGAGTCATCTGGTGATGCGGGTGTCTTGACCTGAAGAAGTTCCCTTACTCTTTCCTGTTCTTCTTCATTCCCTAAGCCAGTGTTCAAAATAAGTACATCTGGTCCCCTGGGAAGACGTGGCAACTTAATTACTCAAGCAAGTAGTATAATACCCAGAATGTATTTGTTTTTTCGTTCTTTTTACTACCTACTGATTTCAACTAGTCATCATATAGTAAAACGATTGGTGGAGGTCCAAATATAAACTCGGATGCTAACACAAAAAAATCAGTAGCTAAAATTAGCCTTACACAGATATAGCCAGTATAGGGAGCTCTCGCACGGGATTCCAAGTTACACATTTGACAGCTTCATCAACGTTCCAGACTCTAAGACATCTACCAGTCTCAATCTCCCACACACGCACAGTTCCATCCATTGAACCTGTGAAGCCAACAGGATTGATGAGAACAATTGTGAAAACAGTTTCAGTTCCCTCGGTAAAACTGCAATTAAATCTAGAAAGAACAGTTTCAGCACCTGAAGCAATCCACTGTCCTGAGGGTTCAACAGAAACAGACATAACTGCATCTGTGTGACCTCTGTACTCGAGATAACATGTTGTAGGGTAAGGCCTAAGATCCTTTCGACTTGGTAACTTTGGTTTCAAAGATTCAGGATCAATGTTTATCTGGAACATTATAATGAGAAATATAACAATATTATTGTACCGTACACGTGTGATTAGAAGTAGGACATTGAAACTTTGTATCTAGCAAAAACCAGCAAACAAAATTAACAAGCACTAGGGGAACTTTGCCAAAATCTGATTTATCACTTACTCGCTTCTTTCGTACTCTGGGACACAAGTATAGATCCAGACATCGTTCAAATGATTCCTTAACAGCATTTTCATAGGCGGGGACATTTCTCAAGGATGTATATCTAACATAATGATAACAAGTACGATGGTATAAGCTAACTACCACAGAAGAAGTGAGGAATCATTTGATAAACATTTGAGACACATGTACATTACCTTCTAGGTATAAACTTAGGTCGGTCTTCCTCATACATTAACTGATAAGAATTAATTTCTTCTTGTGTTGGGATGTATTCCAAAGAGGGATTGTACGACTCCTCATGGCCTGAAAGCAAAAATCAATATGATTTTTATCCCAAAAATTTCACAAGATTTATTAAAAAATAAAATACCAATCCTGAAAAATTGTAAGCATTACCTGGCAATTTAGGCTTTGGTGCAGGAATATATGCTAAATGATTAGACTTTTCAGTCGCATCGGATTCATCTCCCCACAAGAGGTAGGCACGTGGTTCCTCTTTAGGCTTTTCAAATTTAATAAACCCCTTACGAATAGCTCGACGAAGTGCAACAACCTGTAGATACAAATAAAGGTGCAGGCATGAAATGAATCATCGAACCATGTTCTGAAAGTCCATTGCTTGATCTCTTCCATTCCCAATAAGTGAAGAAAAGTTTGCATTGAAAAACATCCGAAAAACTATTTCATTTACGCAGAAAAAAAAATGAAAAAGAAAATAAAACTCTAGCGACTTCTATTGAATGAGAACCATAATACGAATATATACATACCTTTTTATGTTCCCATTTTGAAGGAATGAATCGTCTCTTGGGTTCGGGTGCATTTGAAAGGGGATGCTTGGCGTCATCCCATTTGAACCAATCAACATAAGGCTGCATTTAAAAATCATAACTATTAAGCAAAGGGTGGCACCAGAGATTGATGACCAAAAATTGAATGGATGAGCAGTTTTTTACAGATCTACACACCGCATATGGATCAAATTCAGCATGTGGTGCCTTTCCTTCAAGCATTCTATGAACAAGTTTGGCCTCTTCCTTTGTCAATTCTACTATCTCCTGATTATACTCATCATTAATTTTGCGCCTGAAAATAAGTAAAAACATTAGAAAAAGTCAAACGCAGCTAAGAAGAAGAGAAAGATGATGTAATTGCCAAAAAAAAAAAAAAAAAGGATTTATCAAGTAGGCAACGTGTATCCACAAGAAGCAACATGCTAACATCCCAAATAGTAATCACAGAAAGGCCTACCTTAAGCTCAAAACTATTCACTTAATTTTCAAGAATATAAAATAGATTACTTTTTTCCTTGTTAATGGTTGCAAAATTTTTAAAAATATATATATGTTTTCAAAATTAGATCCAAAACTCACCAATTCTTAGAGTCATCTGCACTTGCAAGAAAGGATTGCAATTTATCTTCTCTTTCTTTCTTTTTTATCTTCTTACCAGCAATGTCATAACCAATATGGTCCTCATCCTGGTACCATACCAAGGGAACATTTCCAACCGTATTCCGGGGAGCTACCTACTTAGATATAAACAGAAGAAAAGTCACTTGAATAGAAGAACTAAAAACTTCGACAAGACAGAGACACAAAACAAACAAACAAGAAAATGAAAAGCAAAAGACCTCATCTTCAGATGAATCACTCTCCTCGACTTCTTCATGAGCGTCGGAGCTCTCGCTTTGGTCCTCATGGCTATGATCACTGCCCAAAGCATCATTGTCGCTCGCGTTGACATCACCCTGAATCATAATTACACTTAAAAATGTTTAAATACAGTAAAGTAACAGCATAATTGTGCTATGCAAAAAAGGAATTTTGGCATAACTTATTCTTCTAGCAAGTAAAAGAAGAAACAAGATTGATTATTTGAGTGTACTAATTAGCAACAACAATGTTAAAATGAAGCTTAAAAAATAGAATCACAGGCATATTTTGAAGTACCTCATCTCCAGAAGCATCACTCTCACTCTCCCCAGATTCTGAGTCCCTCAACGATTCATAATCCTCTGACTCTGAACCACCATCATCTTCCGAGAAATCCTGTGACCATAAATTGAATCAATACTTATGAAAACAACTGATAATTAGTGTCACAATTTATGAACATTACCCAAAACTGGAAAATTGAATGCTTGCCATAACAAATCGCCAGAAATCTAAAAACACAAAAAGTTGAAAAAGGCAAAAATTGAATAGTTTTGCAATCAATTCTAGGTCTTTTGCCAAAATGAAAAATTCCAAGAGAGAAAAAAAGCGAAAAGCCTGAATAGGAGTGTGTTTGGTTGAGTTACCCCATCATAGACAGAGTCGGACTGGGACTCGGAGTCAGAAATTTCAGGTGGTGTTGGTTGTTTCAGTTTCAGTTTCTGTTGGGTTTGGATTGCTTTCTGGTTCTTCTTCTTCGTCTTCTTCTCTTCGTCGATTTTGGAGCTCTGCTTCTGCTTTTGATTTTGGTTTTGGTCGGTGTCCGTGGCCTTGGACTTGCCCGCCGTCGCCATTCTCAGTCTGCGCCGGAGGTTTTGGAGTTGGAGAGGTTTAAGACTTGAGGTTTATTGGAGGAAAGAAGAAGCGGCAATGGTGTCTTTGAGTTGAGAGGTCTTGTGGCTAGGTCTCACAAGCAGGCTGGACCACTCTTGCCTTTGGGCTAAGTTGCTTTTTGGGTTGGGCCGCCAATGAACTCTTGGAGTTTGTCTGTCGAAGACAGGCTTGCTTGGAATAGTTTTAAGAGATCACCAATGATGATAGAATAATCTTGACAAATATATCGTGAAAATGAAAATGTATGGTCAATATTTTTATCCTTTATTTTTTATTCATAATTTTTTTAGTTAAATAATTATACTAATAAAAGAGTATTTATCAATAATAAAGGGTAAAAATCTAAACTCGTACTCTTAATAATAAATTCTACAATTTTCTCATGATATTTGATATCAAATTTTACTATTCTAATAATATTTTAAAAAAGATAAAATTACGCCCCAATTTGTTTCACTCGTCTGAATTTTTTTGGTTTGAACTTTTTTATTTGAACAGATTAATTCAAACAGTGTAGTTTGAATTGGTGTTTAGATGTGCAGTTAAAATTTTAATTTGAACAGAATAAAATTCAGAATTATGTTTGGTAGGTGTGAAAAACAGAGAGAACGATCACATTTTTACTGTTTAAAAATGGTTTGAATGGTTGAACTTAATGGGAGAATTAAACTCAAAGTTTGACAGTTTAACTTAGTTCAAGCGGAGAATATAATTCGAATCACATGCTTACTAAACACGAGTTCAAACTATACTCATTGTTCAAACTGAATTAAACCAGTAAAACAAGTGGGGCTACATGTTCTACTTCTTTAAAAAAACTCTACCCTCATTAAAAGGTAAAAATAAATGGACTAATGTTAATTGGTAGAAATAAAAATGGCTCTATTTCAAAGAGTATTTTTAAAAATTTCCCTTTTAAAGGTTTTGTTATGTAGACAGAGAATCTTTTTTTTAACCATTTAATATCTGTTTGGATAGTTTGTGCATTTATTTTTAAGCATTGAAAGAAAATAAGCATAATTTATGGCCTTTTAATTGTTGTTCGGATATTATATGGAAAAAAGCTTTTTGATTTCAAAAAGCTTTGGAACCGCATTACTTAAATAAGTTGAAAGCTCTTATTGTTCCTAAAAGTAATACCATACAAAGACATAGATGAAATATTTCATTTGTTATCTACAAATGAAATATTAAAAACGTAAATAAAAAATATTTTATAAACTCTTTTTTCATAAACACTAAAAAGCGAACTTGTTCCGAAATAAGTTGTAAAAGTAAAAATCCAATTAATATGGCTATCTAAACACGTCCAAAAACAGCTTTTAGACTAGATAAGTCAAAAGAAACTTATTTTAAGTCATTCCAAACGGCGCATTAGTCCAAAAATTACTTTTCAACATGTTTGATTGAATAGAGCTTTTATAAGCTCTTTTGTTTCCAACTACTTCGTGCTTATAGAAAAAGAGTTTATAAAATAAACTTTTTATTAAATTTTTAACCTTTTAACTTATTGATGACAAATTAAAATTCCACCTATATCCTTGTATCATATTTACTTTTATGATAGGATCTTTTCATTTATATAGCTAACACAAGTTCAAAACTCTTATCCAAAGATTAATTAAAAAGGCCCTAACTTATGTTTTATTCTATTGCTTAAAAGTTAAAAATAAAGGTAAAAAATTAAAGATATCTCAAAGTTGAAGTAAATTATATTGATCGTTACGGCCATTGGAAGCACTTGCCTTTGTAGTCTGTACAGTCTTAACAAACCACATTAATAGGAGAAATATTAATTTCCAATACATCGGACGTTCAACATCATCATGCTTAACTACTTAATGACGTACTCATTCCTTAAATATTTGACATTTGGATTGCTTATCAAATATCAATGTTATCGTCTCATCATCTTTCACGATCATAATCATAGTTACCATAAATATTCTATCTAAATCTCATACATTAATTACTTCAAGCAATATTACTATTCTTAGAGACGCGGTGTACTGAGACTTCGTTCACTTCGCGGATTCAAATTTTTAATTCGAGTTGAGATGTGACATTTTCTGAGAGCTTTTCACTGTAACAAAAAAAGTTGATGTGATATTTTCTGAGAACTTTTTACTATAGAAATTTAAAACTGAACTCGAATCGGTGAAATGAACGAGACCTGAAGAATTTTTCCTAAAAACTGGTGTAATACCGCATTGGAAAATTGAGTTGGTGTAAGAACAATTCTTGTCTCGGTCTGTTTCGTCTTCTGATCAAGTGACAATCAAGGAATGACCGAGTAAAATGCAACATAAACAGTGAAATGCGAACTTATAGAGGTCCCCAAACTTTGCTATTGTTAGCATAAGTTAACAAAGATGTTCAGTGACCCATTGACAATCACCTTTGGGGTGGCCGTAGCATTGTGTGTGCGCAACAAAGACGGGGGAATTCCAAATGTAATTTAAGAATCCATTGAGTAGCATTTTTAAGCTACATTACAATATGTATAACCAATGAGCACAAAATTACATTGGCAAGTATCAATCATGTTTCCAGACGGGAATTGGTATACAAGATGACAGGGGGGCCAAAAAAGAAGAAGATAAAAGAGATAGAAACAGCAAAAATTCTCACCCGTCTTCTCTTTTACTCGCAAACAAGAAAGATATGCCGGCAATGAGCAAGATAAGACGAGGCACAAGATATGAAATAGCCGATAGCAAGGGTCCCTCCCCCATAGAAGTTTGCAAGTTTCTTGATATGGCAGAGTAGAAGGATGCATTCACGGTGTTCTCAAGGATTCCTGCCGTCTAAGAGGCATCCCTTCAGCACCAAAACCATCCTCTTCTGAGTACTTGTGGAGTTTTGTAGTTGTTGAACCTACATTTTTGAAAACATGATTAAACAAAGGTTAGATTACCATTAGCCTTTTTTTTTTTTTTTTGCCAGCAATGAGAATGCAAATTTTTCTAACGCCCAGGTTCTTGATGTATAACTTAACTGAGGATGGATATCAAACAGAGAGTTTCATTAGAAAAAAAGGATATCAAACAGAATTCACAGGAATACAAAGAGAGTACCATCACCCATGTCTTTTGTTTTGTGAAGAAGAAAAGTCCCTGACAGGATGGTCACAAACCCGCACATTTCCGTTACAACTTGGGTTGGACTTTGCCTATCCCAATCCTGAATCAAAATCAACAACGTATAGACAACATCAGCCATTGAAAACTGCGAGCAAGACAAAAGTAAAGAAATATTTCCAAGCTCAGCTGTAATTATATACAAGCTTCTAATTTCAAGGTTTTGGAGGTTTAAGCAGATAGGTAGTCACAGGAAGTATTGGAAGGCTTTCCGTTTGAGATTTTTGAAGTTTTACACAGAGGCTAGGTAGTGATAGGATGTATCAGAAGATTTTCATTCCATTTTCTATTATAAAGTAAAGTCATTTGAACATACTAACAGAGCATCAAAATGGGTTTTGATGTGATCATTCGGAAGGAATACCTTAAACATGATAACACTAGCTAAAATAGTTAGTGACGTGAACATAACATAATATATTGGAGAAACAACAGCTGTGTTGAAAGTATCAAGCGCCTGCAAAGAGAAGCCATAAGATATACATTAGAGGAATTGTTACTAAACAACAACGCCAAACATGAGCAGACAATGTGTCGGAGACGGTAGAGAGGCAAAATGAAATTAGTTACTTTAATTTCATATGTGATTATAAAATTAAATTATCTCTTTCTTATGCATCCTTGGGACTTGGAAGTTGGAAGTGTAGAAAAACTCTTAGTATCGAGTTAATTAAAAAAAAATGGATATCTTTAGGTTTTAGATGATGTATTCTGGAAGCAATGTTTTTACAATCTTGTTAATGAAAAGGAAATGAATACATTTAGGATTTAGCTGAAGTTATTCTAGCAGCAATCTAAACATAACTATACTTTGTATCCTTAAATAATTACCTCGTTCAAACAAAAAAAGAAAAAAAAAAGGAACTAAAAAGAAACAACCAATTACCTTGTTCAAATAATTCATTTGCGTAAGAACACAAGTTAGCACAACCAAAGTGAAGGCCCAAGTTTGAGGATATATAAGCTGATTTGTCCCTGACAAAGTCAACTTCAAAGCAATTCCTAGGGCTTTAACACTCATAACCTGGCAAAAGATAGCTTTAATATAAAAACACTTAGAGAGAGAAGAGAAAGGCAAAGCAAACATAGACCGAAATTACCAACAATTAAGCAGCGAGACATACCGACAAAGAACCAACAAGGGAACAAATTCCAATGTAAACCATTATGTGTGTCTGGCCATATTGTGGAATAAAGTGGAACATAAGTATAAATACAGCAGTTATGACCAAAGCGGCATACAAAAGAAAAGCTGCCAAAAAAAAATTGTCATTAAGCATTAAACTTGTATACATAATAAAACTTGAATTGTTACATGTGAAAGACAAGTGTAGAAGAACATGTGTAGAAAGACAATCACCTGGATCCATAGCAAGATCCCAAACTTCTGTCACAGATTCAATTTCACGTTCTTGAGGAGCATGTAGGACAATTGATGTAGAACCCACAACACAAAGAACACAACCAAGAATTCCGAAAATATGAAGTCTCTCCCGCAAAATAATATGTGCAAGTACGGCACTGCAAGATAAAATGGCCATCAGCACTCGACACCAGAAAGTTAATGATGATAAGACAAAAAGGCATACATAGAAATCATGCCTGATAATTATGCTCAGAGCACCAAGAGGAGTGACCAGTATAGCTGGCGCAAATGCATAAGCCGCAAAATTAGCAATTTCTCCGACAATCACTGTCAAAATGGCAAGTGGCAACCCATCAGAATTTACTATTTTCCCTTGTAAGCAATTATAAGGGTAAGCAGTTAATTCTTTGCTTTCTACTACTGTTCAGCTAAATGCTTGACCAAGTCCCGATAGTTGTAGAGAACATTGTAATTCCAAAGCAATGAAAACTGACGAGAAACATATAATAACTGAAATTTCATCAATCACTGGACAAAAATAACAAATTTGAACTCACTTGTTATCATGCCCACCCACCAAAGTGGCTCGTATAAGTAAGAATATCCTCCAGATCCTGCAAACAAATCAGGCAGAATTGAGATGAAGTTTATAGACATCTCAATAAATGCCTTCTTGCACATGAACTAAAAACGCAATAATCATAAAGGAGCGAGCCAGCATTGAACTTAGACACAAGCATAACACAACAGCTGAAGTGGTAGGAGCAGATCCAATACAATCAAACAACTCTATCTAAGGTAAGAAAATCAATTGTGCCATGCCCCCTTACATAAGCTGCCCACGTACAAATTTGTAGTAGAGATATTATTTATTAACACAATTTCCCATTCCCCCTTTTGCCCATCTGTGCCAAAACTATGAACTACCAATAACGCAAATTTGATGTTAAAAGCACATTTCCTTATCTAAATTCAGTCATCAATTATCATTAAGTACTACACTAAATACATCACTTCACCAATCCACTAAATAACACCAACCTTATGCACCAAATTTCACCCACATTGACATTGTAACCGCCTCCATTTCCCATTTCACCCGATTCATACTTAAAAAAACATCGAAATTTAAAAGGCAATGAAAGGCAACGAGTCAATTTCCAACAATTGCGAATCGAAATTTTCACAAATTGATGATAACAGCAAAAAATACACTCTACCGGCTCTGATTCCGGAGGCTCCGGCCTTCTTCAAGCCCTTCTTTTTGACGATGAAGCTGGCGCCAATGAAGAGACTGGAGGAAAGAGCGAGAACCAAGCCCTTGATGTTGTCGGAGGACATGCCTTTGTAGGCGTCTCTCCAGCTCGAAGAACCCTGAGCAGTCACCACCATGGCAGCGAAGCACCGAAACCAACAAAACCCTAGCCTAGCCTGTAGCCTGGCCTAGCGTCTCCGCGCGGGGTCCACTCTTATCATAAAACCGCCATCTTTTGGCGGCGAAAAGTAGAGAGAGAGAGAGAGAGATAGAATCGGAGGAAATGCTCGAAGACTCGGGTCGAACTCGGAACGAGTCAGAAAATACCGAGTCGGATTTTGTCTGAAGGGAAAAAGAAAAAGACAGATCTGGATTGAGAAAATGATGAAGGAGATTTGTCGGCGCTTGGGTTTTGGAAATGGAAATGAGCGTGTACAGCTGTGCTGTGAGATTTCTTGGATCGGAATGAACACGGAACAGAAGAGAGAGAAACTAACTTCTAGAGAGAGAAAGAGAGATTTTGTTTGGCTGTTAAATCGGAATTTACCCAAATTAATGACTCCACTCCGAACACGGTTGATGAGTGTGGTTGAGTGCTACACTCCATCTTTTGTTTTTTGTTTTTTTTTCTTTTCTTTTCTTCATTAGTTTACTTTAATGGTAATGTTGATTATTTGTCCAATTTCAAAATTAAAGAAAAAAATGTTGATTATCTACACAAAATAAAACTACTTATGTGGCCTAAAAAACAATATTAATGACAGATGTGAGTTTGGAGTAAGGATCTGTGTCATGGTTCGGATCATAGTTCGTGACTCGCTATAACATTTATTTTTATAAAAAATACACGTAAATCGATAATAATTATGAATTCATGAATCAAACGTCTCTGTCTCTTGACATTATTTTAGGATTATTCACGTTGGAATTTTATACTTCTCCAATTTTGTTATTTTCCTGCTTTGCCATTTGATTTTTAACAACTCTCAAATCTCAATTCACTATTTCAAACTATGAGTTAGTCCCATTTAACCTTATCTATTAGAATGTTCATAAGGTACAATCAAAAACCATCATAGTGTTCTTGTTAATATCCTTGGCCACAAAAATAATTTGGTTTTGTATATCTAATACGAAAAATTACATATTTATGGCTGTAATGTTTATTTTAAATTTTTAATTGAATGAAACACCGCACATGTAAAAGTGATGTGCTCTTTTATTTATTTCTTTCTTTCTTTAAGAAAAGCGATGCATTATTATTGTTTTTTTTTTTCCCCCCCTAAACTTCGAGTGGAAGGACTTCAACTTTACACTTTATATGAAATGTGTATAAATTTACGGCTGCGATGTGCTTGTAATTAAAAAAATACACATCATAAAAAAAAATCATATAGTTTCTTAGGTTAAGACGTTAGAACTTTATCACTTAAATAAACCGTTGTTTCTCTAGCTTAGGAGAGTCGGACCTAATCTATAGATTTTATACAGTGATTTAATTAGTATTTAAAGTGTGAATTTAAAAGAATCGAATCATAGTTGTATAGTTATATGCTTGGCCACCTAACTGCGAAAAAACAAGAGCATAAAACGACAAAAACATCCTTAGAACGACAGCGGAAACAGTATATGTAAACATAAAAAACGATAACAAACAAAAACGATAAAAAAATTTTAATAACGACAAAAGTACATTTAGAACGATGCTAAGCTGAGACGCCATCAAAACCACAACCATTTATATATATATATATATATACATATATATAATATAAATATATACAAAATATTTTTTTAAAACGACAAAAGACCAAAACGAGAAAGTTATTTTTGAAAATGATAAGTCAACAGCATCGAAATTATATCCAGAGTTTCATATTAATGACAGCTCATCTAAACATTTCAACCAAAGCAGTTTTTCAACTGCTCTCGCTATTTATTATTTTTCCTATTCCTCGCTTAATTGTGTTTCTAGACCCCCTCACATCTTATTCTCCATATAAATACAAATTACAATCACAAATTATAAACAACCTAAATTATAAAATCCAAAGATTGATTAGTATAAAATAACTATAAATAAAGTCAAAATGCTAATAGAAGTAACATTTTATAAAATATTAAATTTTCCCTGTAGCATCAACATGTACAAAAAGCGTGTTGTATTCGGATTTACATTTAATATCACGTTTAATAAACGGTTTGTGTTTATTTTTTCTGATGCGATTAATGATGAGTTTACAATAGCATGATTTGTTATACCTGAATTGCCATACCTAACCAATACACTTCCATTTTATTATTTGTTGGCAAATTGAACTTCCTTAAATTTTTAGTTCTAATATTTGGAATCTTAAATTTGACAATTCTTTATAGTTGTAATTTTGTAGTCCAATCAATAATATCAATGGATGGATAAACTAGTGTGTTGCTTTGAGAGATGGTTTGGCTTTCGCCACTTCTAACGACTAGAATATTTCAATTGCTGAATCGGATGCTATTGGGATCGTTGATTGTGTTAAGCACAGGGAAATACTCCGGGTGCGTTTAGAACTCATTTCAAAATAATTTTATTTTTTGTATAAAAATAAAAATGAAAACGTTTTCAATCTCATACATAAATTATTTTTGAAAATACGTTTAGTAGTTTTATCAATATATTATTTTTAGTGTAAAAAAATCTATTAATGTCTCTTTTTCTCTCTCTCCCCGCTTGAGAGAGGAGAAAACGAAAACAAAAAATGAAAAACGACTAAAAGTAATTTAGTCGTTTTTCATTTCTCTCTCATTTTACACTAAACTAAAAAATCGTTTTCATTTATGTTTTTTGTCTTTATGCGTCAAACACCGTTTTGAAAACGTTTTTATTTTTTCTTTCTCAAAAAACATGAAAAAAAAAAAACGGAATCAATTATAAACATGGCCTCTGTTTTCATGGAGCGATTGTTGATGATATTTGTAATTTTATTTTTGTTATGAACTACGTGTTTTGTTATGTTTCTCGTTCTGTTAATGGAGTTGCTTATTCTTTAGCCGGATTTAGTGTGTTTTCTGATGTTTCTATTAATTGGACTGAGTCCCTTCCGGATTGGTTATTGACCATGATTAGGGCTGGCAATTTTAGACACGACACGATGAAACGACACGAGATAAATGGGTTTAGACCGCACGATTATTAATTGGGTCGTTAACGGGCTGGCACGAATAACACGAAAATAAACGGGTTGGATTCGTGCCAGCCCGTTTAACACGTTTAACCCGTTTAATTAAACGTGCCATTATCGGGCCGGCAGGCACGACCCGGACCGGCCCGTTTAATATGCCCAAATATTTTTTTTTTAGCCAAAACCGGAAAACCCTAAGTGTCTAACACTAAGTCACTAACAGACTAACACTCAAACTCTTCTCCCCGTGCGGCCGTCCCTGAGCTGAATCCCTATTCCCTGCCTCAGTTTTCTCTCTCATTCTCTCGAGTCTCATCATCTCACGCCTCACGGTCTCTCAAGTCTCACCCGCCGGCCTCACCTGCCTCAGTCCTCAGTGACTCAGTCCTCACCGGCCTCAGTCCTCACCCGCCTCAGTCCTCACTGGCCACCGCCTCAGTCCTCACCGGCCACCGCCTCAGTCCACCATTGAGATTTGAGATTGATTTTGGGTGGCGAACGACCCTTTTGATTCCGTTTCAGGTAAAGCCCTAAGGAGTTTTCATTTTCTCTTTTTTTTTTTTTTTTTGATTCTTCGATTGTAGTTATACTTGGTTGGTTGTCACTTTCGATTTTGTTTTGAAAGTTGTTCTTGACTTTGTAGTTAGACTTGGCTGGTTTTCGATTTTTGTTCTCAGGAGTTGTTCGATTTTTGATTCTTCGATTTGTTCTCAGAGTCTCCAACACCGGAAGTGGTCGCAAACTCCACATTTCTCCCGGTATGTTCTCCACTTCATTCATATGATCTTTTCATGTTTGATTTTTTTGTTATTCCGGAGAATCCAACCATTGAAAGGGAAAAAAAAATGAGACAAGACCAACTCTTACACTGTCGATTGTATTTTGCACTTTTGGGAAAGTAATGCCATTTGGAAACGTGATAAAGTAATGGTAATGCAACAAAAATGATGTTAATAAAATCTTCAAACCGATCGATGGTGTCTAAGTGAAGATGGGTTTTTTTTTGTTTTGGTAATTCTAATTTATAATTTGGAAACAAAAGTGGACGACAAAAAGAGCCAGAGGAGTGCCGGCATCATATATGAAATAATTTGCTTGTCCCACCGGCAAGGACAAACCCAGAAGATTTGGTAGGTGTCTTGGAATGTAGTGTTGGCTTGGCTTGGCGCCTTGGCCACTACCTTTTTTTTTTTTTTTTTTTTTTTTTTTT